CATCTAGTTTCTGTGGCAAACTTTCAGGGTACAGGTCAGAAAATCCCCAGTTTTCATCCAACTCAATCAATCGGATACTTGTGGTCGTTAATAGAATGTGTCCGTACGAGGTCTTTCCTAGAGATTTATGTTTCAGCTACCCTGGTTCCCGGGGTCCAGTAGATCTGGAATAAGGCAAATGAGGTAGGTGAACAAAGACTCTCTCTCTCGGTTCACATTTAGTTGTAGGATAATGTAGACTTTCGTGTACATGTCTACTTTATATGCATCACCTTATTCGTTCAGTTATATGGGGAGAGTAAAAATCCAAACATGTTGGTAGACGACAGTGAGGAGGTTCCACGGTCGGATGTTCAGGCCAGATAGTTCATGAGACGCACAGCATAACAAAGATCGGTACCATGTAGGACTTGTGAGAACCTACCTAGTCATGCGCGAAAACAAGCTGGACTACTTTTCAAAGGGCTACTACAAAGTGCTGAACAGCTTGAAGTAAATATATCTAAAGGTTACCACTCATACGTGTACTTTATGTCATTTTTTCTCCAAAACGGTGACGTAATATGAGCGGAAACAGAGTGAACGTGACTGACCATTGCTTTTGAGGAACTGCAGCGGTGATGTACAAAAAGTAATCCTGATGAGAGACTTGCCGTTATTTACCGATTTCCGGCTGGTCAACCAAAAAATGATTTATCGCATGCGTACCGTTGATTGATGAATATCCACCTGTTTGTAGTCATCTAATTCCCAACCTGATCCATCCGGGGCGGATAAGAGCGATTGCTCAACTGGGTTTTCGAGAATGTTTGATTTAGCCGCTTCTCCCATATTATACTAACGATGAAGGCAGCGAACAAAGCTTGTTTTCTGTGGTTGTTCCTCTTGGCTACTGCATCACAAATTTATATGGTACCAGAAATCACGTGGTAAAGGTTAAGCCCACGGTTACATACACTTTGATTTCTATTTCTCCAAGGAAGGGGGGTTGGACGAGGGATGGGTCAGTGGGTTATGGAATCAACTAAGTGACGTCAATGTCAGACAGACCTGTGGGACCGGATGTTTTGCAGGCCAGTTCAAGTTCAGAGGTCACACAAGTTTCTTTTGGATGCAACGTTGCGGATCCAGCAGTCGGATTCCCATCACCTCTGCGATCGATGGTGAAAGGAAGAAGGCCTTCGCTGCGGAGTTATTTATTAGGAAATGCCAACTGACCGGTTACAGACCATTGAACAGGGAACAAAACTCTAATTTGCAACTTAGTTACGAAAACTGGACACCCATCTTCTCCCGAACGAGTCTTCTTGAACCTTCCTGGAGATTCATTGACTCCACTCATTCAAATGTTACAAAGTGGCTCCATGAATTTCGCAACAGATCTCCCTTTTTCAATAGACGCAAAGTGAAATTCTACGAACAACACATACTACTCGCGTGCTTCCCCATCAGTAGCATCACCGTTACAATAGTAGTCTGGATCGTACCAGTTGTACTCGGTTCACAGGTACCCGGTATATGATGGTGAATGTTTACTCCTTGTCTATGACATAACTGGCTTCGGCCAAACATGATGCAATCGCGCTTGAGACTGGTCTCTTACCACTACTACTCAGAGATGCGGGATTGTGTTCTCGCATTCTGTCCGACAAATGCCTTGTCGTACGATCAACATATGATGCTCGAGCATGTATGCATGTATGCACGAGCATACAAATGAGTACACATAAAAACTAGTGGTAGAACGTGGCAATTTGTCCTTCAAGCAGAATTTGATAGTGGGGCTGGAGTTGAAGCTCAAACATGGATTAGCGGCCAAGTATATCGTACCAACGGAGTTTCTAAGCCTTCTAGTGATTAGTTCAGCAACCGAGTCACCTTTGAATGGAAGCTTCTTCCTAACAGAGCATTGTGTAGGTTTGGGCTTAAAGGCTTCTATAGTCTTGAGTACGAATCTTTCAGGATATCTGCTCTGGAGGAATGTGCGTCCCAAGAACTTTAGTTCCTCTTCTAAGCAATCGGGCGAGCATATCTTCATTGCTGTCTCAGTCAGGCCTCTAATTAGGTTGCGCTTTTGTTGCAACGGAACGAAGCTATCAAAGCGAATATACTGACCTTTCCACGTCTGCTTTCTGTGGACCTTGCGTTCTGTGGTCCCGTCAGTCTTCCTTTTAACACTGACATCGAGGATTCATCATCCCGTTCTGTGGAAAGATCCGGGTATATTCAGCCACTTGAGACAGTCCCCCATATTAATTCGCTCATCCTCAACTGTTGCAGTGAAAGAAGATGGCATCTGCACGTCGAAATTCTACATTGTCCACCGTTCGGAACAACGCCGATTAATCATTTTTTTGTTCACGCATGCACCCTAAATCGTACACAATTAAAGTTTCTGGTCTTTCTATGCATGCCATTCAGATGTAAACCGTTCAGCTGTAGCACCCTTTCGGTGCCTAACTGCCATGCAACCCGAAGGTTGCACGAGGGCTGGGATACTGCCAGGTCGCCCAAGCCTAGACAGGGGAAGTCGAATGGCAGAGGTCGGGTTCGAACCACGGACCTTCCGGTCAGTAAACTCGCGCTCTAACCACTTGGGTCATCTCGCCACCGCACGCATGCGATCGTAATAGCGACAAGAACTTACCAAAGTGTGCACTATGAATCATATTTGACTTGGTGGGTTCTTTATCTCCCCTCGCTATTCATTTCGCCTCCCTAACTGACTGCTCCAACAAACCTACTTAGTAAACTCAGATGAACCTAAGTTGAATCTCTCACTTACAATACTGTTCGACGAAAGATGTTAGAAGGTCGAAACCGGTTGTGTGGTGTCGGCATTTTAGGATCTGAAGATTAGATTTCGGTGAAGGGAATATACTGCGACATCTCGACTGTTGTAACTGTCAGAAATGTGAAACCTTCTTTCTGCTACCAACCTAGTTGAAGGATATTGCAAAGGAAGAGATCCGGCTGAAGTATATGCAAGTCCTTCGTCAAATGTGAGTCCAAGAAGATGATGTGGACCGAAACTCGGGGTCTCATCAAGTTTGTCAATACCAGCCGAGACTCTGTCTTACTTTGTATGAGCAATATTGGTCGCATTGTATTTTCCATAATATGTGCAAATGGGCGCTTTCCATAAGTAGAATGGCGTTGACTTCATCTTTGCTTTCTGTTTCAACATTTAGCTTCAAAGCATGAACCTATGGGCTTATGCTGTACGGCAGGAAATTTACTTCCAAACGGGTTTGGCTATCCGAAAGCTTCAGCCTCAAGATGATCCTAAAAATCGCTAGGGAATACAAAATCATGTTGCATGATTTTCGACAGACTGTGCTGGTCATAGACTCCTGAGTCTCTTCGATTCAAACGCGTTACGAGGTGAAGTTTCACTGAGGTCAATTGTTAGTCTGATTGGTTGGTTATTTTGTCTGTGTAACCTTCCAAAACCTCTGACATATAGTGGATTTTATTGAATGTAAATCTCTTTCAAAGGCCGACCGGCCAATTATTCTACTTTCTTTATTTCGCGATTCGACGCACTTCTCCCAAAGGTCGACGTGTAATTTGAACAACACTTACTTAAAGACCTATTCCAGCCTGGAAGAATGCCAGGTGCTTAGTCAGCAATTCAGTATCCACAATTTGCTCTTCCAATTTCCTTACAAAATGTTACTGAGAATTTTGACGCCTGCCACCCAGAAATGGGACAGAGTCATCCACAGAACCTCCTAAGTCCAAGAACAGCGGAAACCTCAGTCGTTAGTTGAGACAACTTCCGAAGGCTTTAACAGGCCTTGACAGGTACAAGCTCCAATCTGTGTTCCAGCCTACTGAAGAACAATGCCCGAATGTGAGGTTCAACTCAAGAATCATAACGACCCAGATGATATCACTAATCGACACGCAACGTTTCGAATAGCTTAAAAATCACTAGGAAATTAGGATTAAAGTGTTCAGACGATGTGATATCGTGAGATTTGTGCAAATTTGTGCACACACTAGCTTCGTTCACTGTCTCCAGTACAGTGGACCTTGGTGATTAGATGGAATATCCTATCTCTCCCATACCTCTGCTTCACTGCAACTGGTTGAATTTTATCGCTTTTGACCTTGTGACTGGTAAACCCGTGAGGAGACCCAAATCAGGTTAGCGTCATGATTACCGTTAACTTGGCAAACACTTTGAATCAGCTATAAGTTGTCGAGATCCAACCACACAGATGGCTGAGTTGTTAACCCTTACCTGGACAGGTATGAGGAGTCAGATGCTGCCTGACCTTCGCACGTCAGATGACCGGAGTTTTCGAACGCCTCTTAGTACTGAAAACTTTCAAGAAATACACTCATTTGCAAATCGAAGAGTTTTCAGCAACCTTGTGAGTAGTTTCCTTCATGAAAATTTACTGCTTTATCCTGAATATCGTGCCAACTCAGTCGTGAGGCGGCCTGTGTGCGGCACATTCAGTTGTAGAACATCATAAACCAGAGATTCAGTTTGGTCTCTCGTGGAAACCAAATTGATTTGCAAATGAGTGTATTTCTCGAAAACAGTCCAATTTGTGTTCAAGTAGAACATAAGTTTGATGGAAACTCGGGGACTGAGCCTACCTGATGGGCCCCAACAAGGGCGAAACCGGTCGTGGGCAGTCGAAGAGTTTTCAGCAACCTTGTGAGTAGTTTCCTTCATGAAAATTTACTGCTTTATCCTGAATATCGTGCCAACTCAGTCGTGAGGCGGCCTGTGTGCGGCACATTCAGTTGTAGAACATCATAAACCAGAGATTCAGTTTGGTCTCTCGTGGAAACCAAATTGATTTGCAAATGAGTGTATTTCTCGAAAACAGTCCAATTTGTGTTCAAGTAGAACATAAGTTTGATGGAAACTCGGGGACTGAGCCTACCTGATGGGCCCCAACAAGGGCGAAACCGGTCGTGGGCAGTCGAAGAGTTTTCAGCAACCTTGTGAGTAGTTTCCTTCATGAAAATTTACTGCTTTATCCTGAATATCGTGCCAACTCAGTCGTGAGGCGGCCTGTGTGCGGCACATTCAGTTGTAGAACATCATAAACCAGAGATTCAGTTTGGTCTCTCTTGGAAACCAAATTGATTTGCAAATGAGTGTATTTCTCGAAAACAGTCCAATTTGTGTTCAAGTATGACTGCATTTGACCAGTCGGTTTAGAAAGACATGTCTGAAGCAGGTCGCAAAATGTCTCGAAGCTGCATGCCAAAATACTCACGGTTTTGTGACCGTCACTCCTTATATGTTTTTTCTAAAAAAACTGTCTTGTCTATCAGTCGCCAACACAAAAGTTTAGATTGAGTAGCAAGACCGGGAAAATATAAACCAATGGAACGGTAAAACTAAATGTACAGATCCACGGAACTATCACTTGATGACAACGTGCGAAACATTGCTACCCGTAAAACTAGCCTGCGATCGATACCCTTAAACAGCGTGACCTTATACAGATCGATCGTGTCTGAGCGGACATCGATAGCGAGTGAGGCCCACTGGTCCCAGAGCTTCTAAGAGAAGCTTTGACTGAATCTTTTGCGTAATGGCCTGTGATATTCCCTCCAACACTTGAAAAATGGACGTGAAATCCGAGGGACTACGGATTGAGCCGAACTCAATAGGTTAAAAAGGTGGATTGGGTACATAGAGCGCTAAATGACTGTCCAGAGTTGTACCTTATCTAATAGCAAAAGTGCAAAAGGTTAAAATGCGTCCATGTGTGCTTGGTTACAATTCGGCTGCAATGTACGTTGTTAAAACATTATTAAATTGTTACACTAAATAGTTGGGAAAATCTGCAAATTTTGAGAGATAGGAGGTAACTGGTAAACCTAGTCCAGAAGTGAAGTACCGCTTTATACCGAGCGGCACTCAGAAATTCGTTTTTTTCAAAAGCTTGCTTGTTTGGCAGTGCATTCAAGCTCCAGCGAGCTCAACTCAGTTGTTTGGAAGATCCACGATTCACCCTTGCATCTCGAATTTTCTTTTTTTGAGCTTGGAGAAAACTTTGGCGTTCGTTCTTCCATCATACAGCACTGTAGTTGGGCAGCGAAAGCTTGGACAGGTTTACACTTCCTTCCTATTATTTGGTATTTTTATGCAGCGCAAGCGAAATGTCAGATTGAAAGTCCAGTCGCATACATACTGACGCTATCCCACGAAATCCCATGGAGCTCTACAAAACCGATGAACAAAAGGTTCAGACGGCCTAGTCTTCAGTTAGTCTAAAGTTATATGGATGGAATCAATAGACTCTGCACTGCAGGCAAAATACCGATGGGCATCCTACTCAACAGACTGAAAGGCTGATAGGCAGGAGGAAGAGACCCCTGGGCAGAATCCAAGGCACATGCAGTGCAAATGACTTTACCGTTACAGCGTGCGAGCAACAATAAAAATCAGAACCACTGGTTGCACGCACTGCTCGTGGATTTCAAGAGTACTCCCACTTCAGTGAACAGGATGGGCTGTATGTTGTCATCCAGAATCTTGGTAGTCCAGTTTGAGAGACCGAGGGTGTATCTCTTGGACCAATACTACTGAATTTGAAATTAGTAGGAAGTGAGGCAACATTGTGCTCTGGTTCAGATTTTGTTGAATTCGCACATGACTACGATTTACTAAGAGTTTTTCATGACCGATCCACTGTCGCCTAGACAACCGTGCATATTTTCTTGGTGGAACATTGCTCACAATGCTGACAGTGTACGACCACTTTCGTCCTTCTCGCTTTTCAGCATTTTCCGAGCTTTCGTCAACCCTACACTTTACCTGAACGCATCCTGAAGATTAACGCAAACAAGAGATTCAGTTGGGGCCCGATGGTCCACGTGAAAAACGAACTGATTTACAAAAGCGTGTCTTTTGTAAGCTGTGTCCGATCTGGGTTCCAGTAGAACACAAGATAGATGAGGACTGGGGAAAAGTGCCCCCAAGATGGATGCAGATTTTCAACGACCTTGTGAGTAGTATGTTCCGTCATAAAAGTGGTCGGAAAAAAGTTCGGATGCAATTGGAAACAGTCGCCTCTTGGACAGCTCACCATGATTATCTCCTTATTTGAGGTCCGTTGTTCCCAACGGATCCTAGTCATCCTTATTTCATACATTGAACCAAAATATAACTTGAACTTGGTTGTCTTCTCCTAATGTGACTTTTCCCGGTCTTATCGACTCATTCACCATCCCATCTACCTGCCAAACGTTTGTGTTTCCATCTCAGCCGTTGATGTGTGTGAAAACCAAGCATTCTGAGGACTTACGAAGTCCTTTCACGAAAAACAACCGTTCAAGAACTACCTTACGAGATAAATCATGTTAAGCGCCCCATAAAATAGCGCAGACGGAAAAAGCGGTCGTCGCCTCATTCTGAATCGGTTGACGGATTACGTTTATTTATCTATATTCATGTTCCGATCCTTCTGGTGTTTAGCATAGTTTATCTCACCCTGGGGTGCTTGCGCACATCTTACCGGTTCACCTGGCATGTGTTTGATGTGACACATACACACAAAGTCTTTTCTGTTTGGGCTGTGTCTTGAGACCGTCAGTTATTCCCCAAGGAGCACGTTCACCAAGAAGAGAGGATAAAATTTCCCAGTAAATACGCAGCCGCTCGATTGCTTCCTTACTCTGCGTATACAATTAGACGGTAGTCAAAGCCCGTAAAACGGGGTGTTTTAGAGCAGTGCACAGTACGATCAACACGCATTAAATCGCTGCAAAAAGATGATGGGCAAAAACAGACTTTCATCCTTAAACCTGTTGCGTAATTTTACGCCATATCGTCTCATAGTCATCCATTAGGCAGTACCAATCACGAGGCGAGGAATGTCTACCTTCCTAAACTTTGAGAAATCATGGTTTTCTAGCTGGCTTATGAGCAGACTTAGATACGACAGGCTAATAAGTCTGCCACTCTGTGATAGTTTCGGACGCTTTAATACCAAGAGTTTCTCGGATCCAATTTTTAGCTAATGAACTCTGATGTGATATCTTTTGACTTTCACTCACCAAAGTCCCTGCTTGAACCCATCTTCGGACAGGACCTCTTTGGGAACAAGGGTGCTGTCCAAAGAGCCTAACTTCATTCCGAAAATTCTGAGTTTTGGATTTTCAAGTCATAAAACGCAGAATTGTGACGATCGTCATGGGTATCGCGAATCCAAATCTAATTTTTAAGTTTGTCAACTTCTTGGTAATGGTCTCAGATGGGCTCAACCCATGGGTCCAAAACATTATACCTGTATTTATTAAACATTTATTTTATTTTATTTTTTAAATTTATTTATATATTTATATTTATTTTCATTTCATTTCATTTATTTTTATTTTTATTATTTATTATTTATTATTTTTCGGGATGAAATTCAGCGTACAGGACAATACTTGACGTTGTTCATATTTCCTATGACTCCCGAGCTATCACTGGTTTTCCAGTGACTTAGTCCTGCACTAGTACAGGCTTTTTCGGAGCTTTGCTGCTTTGAGAAAGACACAACAATATTACACAATATCTGACGCGTAAAACAATTATTATTTGACAAGGGACACGTCGGAAGGCCAGCTTAAACGATCAGACAGCCTATTCAAGTTTTCTTTGTACAGAAAAATCCAGGATGAGATTAGCACCGGTTTAGCAGAACCCGTTTTCGCCCCGCGGCCCACGAAGGCTCCGAACAAGTATTAGAAACGATCTACTCGTCAGAAAATTTATGATCACATTTCGATTCAAAGTTCATCGTGTACACGTGACTAGAAGACAAATTTTCACTGTCATGCTTACTTGAATGCCCATACAAGGCTTCATACATTGGTTGTACAAGCGGGCGACTGTCTGATGGAACTTCATGAACACGATTCATTTTGAAAGGTTAAGTCACATTTCATTTTCTACGCATTGGATTGACTCCCCTCAGAATCTCGTTCGTAGCGAGGTTGTGTGCAGAATATTGGACTGCGCGAACCTGACCTCGGAGCTCAGGAACAATTCGTACAGAATTCAAGCTCAAACGTCAGGCAAAAACTGCAAACCAGAATGGATGTCGACCATATAGTGGCCGATGACGAATTTCGTTGTTCAAATCTTGCTTATTGGTCGGTAGGCAGCCTTCTGCGAAACAGCAAAATTTCATTCCATCTGTTTCTACGTGGTTCTATTTGTTAATTGCAATGAGGATGACGTACAGTGCTCATCTTTGGACTCGTTATTCAGATGGAGTTTCCGTGCGCATTCGGACGGTTCGGCCAATTTTGACTGGAGACTCCAATTCGGGCAAAACTATTCGTTAATTTTTTTAAAACACCTAACCGTGGGACTGTACTGCCCTTGGTACGGATGACTTTTCAACGAGTCAAGCAGGTAACTCAACAGTCCTATTGAGAGTGATGATTGTGATGGTGCTGACGATAAGGATGTCGACGATGCTCCACCTGCTGGTGACAATGATGGAGACGGTGATGATGACGGCGGTGGCAATCATACGGGAGGCGACGATAAGGACGACGAAGATGATTTAAGTGATAATGATGTCTAGGGTGTTGGAATATGAAAGTACCTGTCTTAAATTTAGGCGGTAAGTGTTGTACTTTTGTGGTCCCACTGCACACATACACAGGAATCACAGACTAGGCTCAGCATTCCTCGGCCTCGCCCGAATTCACCTACCGTACTGTTTATCAGTTTCCAACTTGAACTGAGTCGAAAACGAACATTATATGATTTCGGTAGCCAAATATTTTAAGAATGTATCTTGCCTGAACTACATCCGTTCTAACAAAAAGTTGAAAAAGATTTTCAATGTTGTGCACAACCACTAACCCACCGCTACGCACAACTACGCACTGATGATGTCACCTCGATTGGTAATGAAACGTTTGCAACCAAATTGCCCAGCTCAGCGAACAAGCTAACGACCATCTTACGCCACCTAGCTACCGACATTCTCCTCTATAGAAAAGATTTTCAATGTGTTGGGCGCAAGAAGCTGATTGGAACTAGGGAGCTAATTTTACTGTAGCTTTTTACCCTATCTAATTAAGAGTTAGTCATACTGCTGATCAGCCGCTCATGACCGAAAGATATATTTTACTACTACTAAACGGGAGGTCTCAATTTCTCCCTAGAACTTGTCCTCATCCCCAGCTAGAGATGAAACGACTGTATAGTGCTTTTCCACTTTTTTGCACAGAGGAATTGCACTCACACAATGAAGGGATGAACAATGCAACACAAACTATCAGAAATCCATACAGTTGTAAAACCTTGCACGTGACAATGCATAGTACAATGAGTCTGTTAAATGGAAAAGCACAAAGTGATTTTGTACTCAATCTGTGCTCACCTGACCTAGGCAGTCCCTGAAAACAATCAGGTATCAATTACACCAGTATCAGTCGGCCAATCCCACTAAATTATATGCTAGTAGGTAGAAGACTGCTCCGTGAAACAAGATTTTCTTCCTGACGGAGGTGCATTTCTACGGGAAATCGGAAGATCTGATGTCGAAACAAACCACCATTGACCGGGGCTGTTGCCACGATAATCAATGAAGTATACTGGGAAACTGAAGATCAACTGAGAGTCGTCTGAAGAATCTATGATGCCTGGATTGAAACATGCTAACTCATAAAGACATGATGTGGTCAGTTAGCTCCCGGACGATATGCGATAGATGCTGAGATATCAGGAGGATTTTTCGGGTTTACTCGCAAGCTGCTCTGATTAAAAGCTTTCCGCTATCGAACCCTAAACCACACTGCCACTAACAAACACGAAACACAATCCTTTCTAGGACCGATTGGTGTGATGGAATTTCCTCAATACCGGAAAAAATGTGTGTTATATCCGCTGATTTGTAAATCTGTGGTATCTGCTGCTGACCCGCTCCATTGCCTAGTTGCCGGAAAAAAGAATCACAGAAGGGAACACAACAGCTATATTCCGAACAAGCGAGTGCGAGAGTAAAAGTTACAACGGCCGCACGCCATTTAAGGGGGACTTTCAGACATAGATCCAGGCTGTCTGATAGGCGTTAGTGAGCACCCATCGACATCGATCGTGTCTCTGTGAAAAGCCTGAACGCTGATCACATTCGGTTGCACTTCTGTGGTGTGCATGAGGACTCATCGGTTTTTGCTGAATTGACTGAGCCATTGACTGGCCTGCATGCTTACCGGCTTTCCTGTTGAGATTTTGGTGGAGCAGTAGGTTTCGGGCGTTCTGATGTTACATTCAGGAATCTGACCTTCCTGATAGTGTGAAAGCACTATACCTAAATTCTCTAACTTGGATCGAAGAACGATTCAGACGAAATCCCTTGGTCATATTTAACCAGATCATCCATATATGCTAGACGTGAATAGCAAATGATTCCTTTATCGTCCTACAGTGAATTGAACTCGCGTGACGCGTGACAAAACAGTTGAAACAATGCCATTGTTAGTAAACGGCTTATGTGTAAATACTTTGCGTTTAGCGTCATGCGAAAGTTGCTACTATTTCTAAGATGACGCTTCTGTAAAACGGTCGAAATTGGCTTCCTTGCCAACTTCCAATCGATAGCGAAGATGAAATTTGTTTACACAGAAAACAGGCAACACTGTTCCACAGTTTAACTGGCACCGGCAAAGAACAGTGTAATCGTTTCTCTAGTAAGCCAATTCAAAAATGCAAAAGGGAAAGCTGCACAGTGTGTTCGTAAAAGATCTCCGGACAGACTTGGCCTATTCGAGCAGCGGAACTAAGACGTCTTCAGTTGTTCGATTCGAC